CTTTCATCTGGGAACTAGGTAAGGCACCGTACAGGTAATATTTGTGTGGCCCTTTCATCTGGGAACCAGGTAAGGCACCGTACAGGTGATATTGGCATGGCCCTTTCATCTAGGGACCAGGTTAGGAACCATACAGGTAATATTTGCATGGCCCTTTCATTTGTGAACCTGGTAAGGCACTGTACAGGTAATATTTGCGTGGCCGTTTCATTTTTGGACCAGGTAAGGCAGCTTACAGGTGAAATTGGTATGGCCCTTTCATCTGGGGACCAGGTCAGGCACCATACAGGTAATATTTGAAACTTTGAAACTTTGAAACTTTATTAGAATAACCATTAGCGGTGGACCCTAGGGTCCACCGCTAGTCTTCCTGGTATTCATACATGTACATACAGACGATACATTATACAAACATAGTGGACAACTGGTCAAGTCACAAACATATCTAAAACAATGACATATTTACAATATACATAATTTTAAAAAAACTGACAATCCTGTCGAACAGTGCTTGTGACCTACTGATGGAGGTATTTGTGCAAACCCTCCTTAAAGACTCTCAGGGATTGTGTGGATTGCATAACAATTGGAAGGTTATTCCACACACTAACAGCCCTGTACATGAAACACTTCTTCCGTGCATTGGTTCTAGGTTTATCTAACAGAAAAGACTGTTTAGCAGCAAAACGGGTTCTATAGCTATGCAAGTTGTTGACAGAACGCAGTTGCCTACTGATACAAATAGGTTCGTTAGTGAGTGTTATCCTTTTAAATGTTGTCATGGTGTTTATTAACAATCTCGTGTGCACAGGTTTCCACTGTGGCTTCGACTGAAACAGACGAGTTGCCTTGTTCTGCATTCGTTGTAGAAGGTTTATGTTAGTTTTAGTTGTGCATGACCAAACTGGGCTACAATAATCAATGTGAGATAGTACAAGGCATTCTATTACAATTTTTAACAATGTCTGATCCATAAAGTGTGCACATCTTTTGATCATCCCCAGTGATCTGGCCA